CTCTCTGAGTGCTTTTCTAGTTTAACAGCTGCATTCTGTAGAGTGGTAACGCTGTATGATAATATCTATGCAGTATCTTATATTGAAATTCCCTGTACTTCAAAATAAAGTAGTTTTTTTACAAGTCACTTGTGGTGCATTCAGAATGGACCCGTGACCACCAGCTGGGAATATTTCAGTAATAATATCACAGTTACTCCGAAACCAAACAACTCCTTATAGCCTATTACTTTTGTTATCACGTGACTACTGACTGGAAATACAACAGTCGCACTGTCTAATCGTTGCACTGCACAGGCTCGTCACAAAGCAGCAAGCTAGTTTGGAAGATGGGAAGGCTTACCATAACGGCTGGAAATATTTCACTTACTTTGATTCTGTTGGGAGGACAGATGACAAGAACACTGCTGCTGCAGGTGGTCGCACTGAAACTGTTTCCACTGTGAAAAACACATCTATAGACCTGCAGTCTGAAACACCTCGGCTAGTTTTTATGGTAAAAGAATATTTATTAACATGTGAATGAATGAGTAAGAATGTGGAAAGTCTTTGGTGATTAGACCCCGTAGAGATGGTTTGATCTAAGGAGGGTCATGAATCTGTAGTCGAATAGGGAACCTCCCGAGGTCTAGACGCTGGTGGTGGTAGAGGTGGTGAAGATGAGATGAGAGGAAGATGGAGTAGTGCCGATGATCTGGATGAGTAGAGGAATGAGTCTTTGAGAGTTCGTCCTGGACTCCAAAACCACTCCTTGGTGAAATACACCCCACCAAAGGTGAGCCTGCCGCAGCCGCAGAGGTCGGCTGTAGCTCTACACTGGCTTAAAAAACCAAACCTGGATTTTACTCGTGGACAGCTGCAGCTACAGAGAAGTCATAAAGCTTGTGTTTGGATATGTGGTGGATGAAATGTTGCTCCATGAGTGACTCTCCATCTTTTAGGCAGGGGCTTCGAAAAATACCGCTCACAGGCACCTGAAGACCCTCAGGTGAATAGAAGCTATCCAGCCTTAGCTACACTTAACGCTGATCATTCACACACAGAGGCACACACCTGAATTTTGGGGCGAGTGTGTAACAGAAAAGTAATATAGTAAGTAGTGTAACAAATTAGTGTTGGCAGGGAGTAATAAGTAAAGTAATATTATTACTTTTGAAAAGGGTAATGTGTAATATATTACATTTTAAGAGTCATGAGCCCAACACTGAGTATACGACTGAATAATTGGATTATACTGCACAAGTTGTTTGAGAGTTTGAAACAGTTTAAACGTGGAGCCCAGTGACTTCAACTCATCAAGACTGTTGTTCTTTTTTCATGATTCCTCATTCACGGTGGAGGGAGGCGAGGAAAACAAAGCTGTCCTCACAAACACAGCGTCACACAGGTGAGTAACTGTTATACAAATGATTTTCTGGGAGGTGAACTGTTCCTTTAAAGAGGCACTTTATTTCCTTCAGACGCAAACAGCAAACAGACCTGCTCCTTGTTTCAGTAAGTAGTTGTTCTTAGATGACACATATTTGAATAACTGGTATTTTAGCAGCCTCGACTCCACCTCTGTTTGAACTACTGTGTGTGTGTGAGTGTGTGTGTGTGTGTGTGTGTGTGTGTGTGTTCAGCAGGTGTGGTGGCTGCTGCAGGTTGAAGTCGACACACTGTCAGAGCTGAAGATGGCCGACTGAAGTTCAGCAGGACAGAAAATAAAAATACAGATTAAACAGCCGACTGAACAAAAGGAGAAGAAATGAGATTAAAATAAGAGGAAATCAAACATCTGGACACAAAGTCTCATCGTTACACTCAGGTCAGTGTTTCACTGCTGGCTCCTCTGCTCTGTCTCTATCATCTGGCTGTGTTTCTGTCAGTGGAACAGTTTTATTCTCTTGTGTCATGTCCTGTTTCAGTGTGTAAGAGTTTGTGTCTGCAGACGAGGACACTGGGTCTGAGTGTGTGAGCTGCAGCTGCTTGTTTGCTTTGTGGTTAAATCCCAAAAACCACAACCACAAGTTTCACTGTTTAACTTCACTCGTCTGTCCGTCCGTCTATGCTGCTTTATTTTTCATCTCTTCTTCCTTCATTCCTCCCTTCATCATCCTCCTCTTCTTATGAGTTTTTGTTTTTTCCTGTTTACTTCTTTTTTCCTGTTTTCCTAAATTTGATCTTCTTCCCATCTTTCTTTTTTTCTTTCCATTTCTTCTTCCAAATTCTCCCATGTGTTTTTCTGCTTCCATTTATTTTCTGTCTTTCTTCTTCTTTACTCTCAGCGCTCTGTTGCTTTTCCCAGAAAACACTTTTCCCGTTGTTATTTACTCTGTAACTTTGCATTTCCTGCGCAGTGTTCAGTATTAGCAGCAGTGGACAAAGTACTGAGAAGTAGCTAGTACTGCTACAGTGACTAAAGCAGTAATACAACAGAATCTACTCTGTTACAAGTGAAAGTCCTGCATTCAAAATCTCACTCAGGTACAAAAGTATCAGCGTCAAAATGAGCTTCAAGTTTCAAAAAGTAAAAGATATACATATACATATATACAGTGGCGGTTCTAGGCCAGTTTCAATGGGGGGGCCAAGCTAGGGCCAGTCCTTTAGATACAGGGGCACACCTACAAGTAGGGTCAAATATGGGGGGGCCCTCATGCCACCCTCATGGAGTCTGTTTCTGACAGTGTGGTCAGAAACATGCACACCAGTAGCCTGCTGGAGGTCATGTTGTAGGGCTCTGGCAGTGCTCCTCCTGTTCCTCCTCACACAAAAGAGCAGATACCGGTCCTGCTGCTGGGTTGATGCCCTTCTACGGCCCTGTCCAGCTCTCCTGGTGTAACAGCTGGTCTCCTGGTATCTCCTCCATGCTCTTGAGACTGTGCTGGGAGACACAGCAAACCTTCTTGTGTCATCCTGGAGGAGCTGGACTACCTGTGCAGCCTGATTGGGCTGCAGGTACGACCTCATGCTTCCAGTAGTGCCAAGGACACTAGCAGAAGACCAGACTAGAGAAGAATCAGTCAGGAAGGATAAGGAGAGAGCAACTGTCTGTGGACACCACA